GATGAGGTTGAAAGTACTTGGGAAATAAAGGAAATAACCAAAATTAGGGTGTCTTTCTTAAATCAGTTTTGTAACAACACTAAGAAATTGATCCGTGTATTTGAGAGGATTAAAATAAAATAAATATACATAATATGTTTAGATTATTCAATCGAACATTCTTGAATATATATATATATATATATATATATATATATATATATATATATATATATATATATATTCAATAAGATTCTTTTCGGAATCGCGTATAAGTTTTCTCGTTTCATTATTAAAGACAGCAAGAAAGTTACTGTGAGGTGATCCATCTTGGTTACAGACCGTGCTCGACGTTGCTTAAGTTCGGTGATCGTATGGGAAGCGGTGTTACAACGTATTATGGTCGTAAGCCTGTAATTAGAGTAATAAATTTTAAGAGATAGGGCATTAATAATTAAATTATAATATATATATATATATATATATATATATATATATATATATATATGTGTGTGTGTGTGTGTGTATAGTTCTTTTGCATATATATAGTTCACTGTATTAGTTTATATATATATATATATATATATATATATATATATATATATATATATATATATACATTTCTCTGTATTTGGCTATATATATATAATTCTCTTCTCTCTCTCTCTCTCTCTCTCTCAATATACACTTCTTTTGTATTTATATATATATATATATATATATATATATATATAGAGAGAGAGAGAGAGAGAGTAGTTAGATAGATAGATAGATATAGACACACAGTTCTTTTGTATACACGCACACACATACACTTGTGTGTGTGTGTGAATATATATATATATATATATATATATATATATATATATATATATATATATATATATATATATATATATATGACATAAATTAACAAGATGGGGTTTATTTAATTTTCCATCTTGCGTTCTCACATATTCTTAGTTCGTCCTCAAGCCAACTGGACTTGGGCAACTTGAAAGCTAATTGCAATGCTGCAGGTGCTTCCTCGCCTGATTAATTGCCATCAATCGTGACCGAGTGACCTGAGATGGGAACAACATTTCTCACCTTTAGCTGCAACCTTTTACTCAGATCTGGAAGTCACGTAGAATGCGCTTCCTGAGCACTCCATTTGGCAGCAGAAGTCAGGTCATTAAATACCACCATGTACCCACCTTCGCTTTGGCGTTTCCTTGCAAATTGCCACTGACCTTGCACACCAGGTATCTAAAACTCTTGAAGCACACGTTTTTGGAACATTCGCTCAGTGGAATGCGTCGCTAATGAATATATATATATATATATATATATATATATATATATATATATATATATATATATATATATATATATATAGTCACTGAAGTTATTGAAACACGTTTATTTTTCTTTTTCTTCATATAAAATTGATAAATAAATCCAGTCGATGTGGCGTTATTCGAACGATGTTTATGCATATTGGGTTACTTGATAGTTTTGAGTTCAATTCCTGAGTCTGATTGAAGATAAAAATAGTCACCTACTGTCGGTTCAGTTTGCACCTCGAGGCGGTGTAATGGTTGGCAAGCTTGGCTTGCTAGAACATTTACGACTGAGTAGTGAGTTCGATCCTCACTGGGTGCCCGCTAATTTCGGCCTTGTGCCACATCTAAGCTACGCTTGGAAAATCACTACAGAGTAGTGAGTTCGATCCTCACTGGGAACCTTATACTTTCGGCCTTGTGCCACATCTGAGCTACGCTTGGAAAATCACTACTGTTGGTTCAGTTGAAGAAACGGACATGTGACACAAATATGAATAAGATTGGTGATTGCCGTATATACCCGTGTATAAGCCTAATTAATGTATAGTGCGACTCCTAATTTTTTTTCTTTTTGTGAAAATCCTGATTGTTTTCATATAGCTCGTCTATAATGCGACCCTACCTTCTAAGTAATACTAGTAGGCTTCCTGTAGTCAAATATTGCAAATATTGCATCCTGAACATATTTTATAGCAAATAAATGATCTGTGATAATGTAGGCCTACCAGGTAGACTACGATCACCGAAAATGCATGAATTTTAACCACTCCAGAAAAGATTACCTGTGTATAGTGTAACAGGTCTCCGAAAATGGATACTTTTTAATCTATTCAAAAAAATTATTTTTATATAGTGCGAAACACTATTTTTGCGTAAAAAACAGATTATCAACATTTCATTATACTCAAGTATATGAAATATTAACTGATGTGAAGTATCCCCTAGACATGGCTTGTATAAATTATTGGATATGAAATTTTGAAAAAGATACCCCGAAGAAAACCTGCCGTAACATTGTGAGTACCAGACAAGTATGTTGGTCCAAATAACAAAGTATATAATAATATTAATTGCGACGAAAATAAAAGTAACTTCTGTTACCAAATGATACCAAAAGAAAAGTCTTGTATTTTTAAGTTATTTACAAAAGTTCCAGATAATAATCAGAATAATTTTTTATCGATCACATTTACATAAAGAGTAGTTGTTGTGAAATGCATAGATTTTTAATATTAGTAGAGAAAATATTTTCTATTTTAATTTCTAGCTTTTTATGATATATATATATATAGTATTAAATAATAATATATATTGTAATTCTCAATATAGAAAATTGATACTTTATTTTTCATTTAATAAATATTTTTAATAAATAATTTTTCGTTCAATGTGTAAAGCTCACTTTTGAAATGAATTCAAAATACGTTTCGGAGGCGAAAGCGCAAAAATATTCAGGCGTTTTCTTTTAAACAATATGGAGGTAAAGTTTTTTTGGTTTTTTTTTAAATATTTACTCAGTATGCACTTCTGGAGGTATAGCATAAACAATTTGAAGGTTTTTTTTGTTTTTTTTATTCTTTTGTTTTAATCATATGGAATCACTACTTTTAAAAGGAATATTCTGAATAAATTATGGAAGCTAAGACACAATAATCTATTCAGTATTCAGATGTTTATTTTTTCTTTCTTTAAACAATATAAAACAATCACTCTTTTAACAGTATTTTGAATATATTCAGATTACGAAAACTAAAACTCGAAGGATTCGGACGCTTTCCGTAAACAATATGGATTTAATACTTTGAACGGATATGCAAAAAATGCCGGGTATAAATATGCAATGGTAATTTTCTAAGCAGAGTGTTAAGAAATAGAAAAACATCGTTAGTAACAAAGAAAAGAGTACTGAACAGTTACGTGATATCTGTCCTCCTGTATGACAGTGAGTGCTGGGTAATCTTCTCAAAGATAAAGAAGAGACTTAAAGCAACAGAAATGTTGTTCTACAGAAGGATACTGAGAATACCATAAACCGAACAAGTTCCAGAGAAAATGAAAACAGAAAGGAAACTTTTAATTAGCATTGGAAAGAGATAGTTGGAATTTCTAATGTGCATAATGAGAAAGGAGGACTTGGAAAATTTTTAACTCACGGGGCCAATTGACAGCAGGAGAGGCAGAGGAAAACAATGCCTAACATACTTAGTGAGCTTGAGTAAATGGATGGCGGAAAAGGGTTTAGGATAAATAACAAAAAGACAACATGTATTAAGAGCTGCAAGGGACAGGAAGTTGTGAAAATCCGTAAATGCCTCCGCCCTCAGGCGTCACGTAAGGGAGGGCAATCCATCTAAAATAAGGAATATTTTCATTTCAAACCCCTACTGCTTTGCGGTCATATTCAATCATGGGAAATGTTTCGGAAATAAACCATGAAACTAGTATCTGGAATCGGAATTTCAAAACAGTTCCATGTTGCAATCACACCGGTGCCGAGCTATAACAAGTTATGTCCTTCCTTTCAACTACATCGGTGGCGTGTAGTGGAAAGATTTGTTTCATAGACCACTGTCGATCCCCTATATATATATAAAAAAAAAAGAAGTCTTAAGTCGGCCTGCGCCTAGGAGCGGATACACAAAGATCACCTGTATTCGATTTATAAAACGGACGTTGTGCTAACATCACCAACTGAAAAAAAACAAAAAAAACAAGAGATACATGTTCTCACGTGACCGACGGATGCTGCATACATTTTTCTTATTTTCTTCAGGACGAGGGTGAACATGTTTTTCTTGTCTTTTTTTAAAATAATTATTTGCCATTCCTCAATCTTCTTGTTCTTCTACCCATCCACATAAACTCCCCAACGTCTTCGTTTGCTTTCAGTTTGTCTTGTGAGTGTTAACTTCTCCAGGCCCTCTTTCCTCATTATGTTTTCCACAAATTTCAACTTTCCTTGTAATTCCTATTCTTTCACCTGAGAAAAGTTTGCACAGCATTCACTGCTATAAGGAGATTCTATTTCATCTCTTAATACGTTGCTTAGGTTCTGGATGGCATTTTTCCATATTCCAATGCGCTATCAGATTCCGGTGTCACATTTTTTGTCATCTATTACTGCACTATCAGTTTTCTCAGTTCAGCGTTTTCAGCATCCAAATAGGTAAATGTCTATATCTGTTTGATTTTGGCGTCCCCCTTATATAGCTCCGACTTTGGACTGCTTATTTGGAAAACAACTACGCATTCTAACTTATTATAATTAATATTCCTTTATTGTTGCTTAATACATTTTTAAAGTTCTTTCAGTTTCTGTTCTGAGAATTATTATATTGTCTATTTGATGTAGTTAATATTATGTCTACCTATATTTAATACTCAAGGCCTTCTAGTTCTTTTAAGCTCGTCCCGCTGCACAGGTTAAATAAAGGCAGCGACCAAAAGCATCCTTGTCTTAGATTTCTTTCTGCTTTCGTGCATTTATTTGAACCCATCTTCTCTTGGCATGTTGACTGTTTGTTCCCGGTAAAATATTCTGAGATGCAAGTTTTTAAATAACGTCTTGCTTCTGAATAACCTACACTTATCTTGCTGTAGCTATTTGAAGCTATTGCTGTCAAGATATTTCTTGCTTTTATTTCATAGGATTAATGCTTGTCCGTGCGGGTAAGGGAACGATTTACGGGACAGCGAATGAAATCCAGTGGGACAGTTTGCGCTCCCCAATTTGTGGGGAAAGACAAGAATCCCCTCTCACCAACGCGACCATCTGTGGGTAAATAAAAGAGTAGATAAAAGCATATAACCTTGTAAAGGAAGTTCATCTTGCGGCTGGTACCCTGAGACCGAACATAATCTGTCGCATCTATTGGAGAGGAGTTGGGCACTGCCAAGTACCCTGCCTATTGCCTGGAGAAATGACAAATTATTCATGTTTAGTTTCTCTTCCACGGTTGCAAAAAGATTAACTTTTCTAAAATAAGTCATTTGTCGTTAAAACAGAAGTGGGATGCTTGTTTTATCTTATCTTTATGTCGGAAATAACTTTCGGATGAAATTCTCGCAGAAATGTCCTGAACCTGTCCATATTAACAACGTAAAATCACTGCGATACAATTGTCGTTCCAAAATGAACGAGAGGAAATAGAACGCGCTCGTATTAACAATAATACTCGTCAGAATGAACGCTGTCATCCGTTCATTTGTTTATTGATCTCTATTCTTCCTTCTTTACCAATAACTTTCATAGCGTTTGATTTGTTTTTATTTCTTCTCTTTCTCTTTTGTTTTTCTCTCTTCAAACCTGATTCCCTTTCTTTATTTTAATCTTTTTCATTATCACTTTCTTTCCTTTTTCAGTATTTGCTTTATTTTTTTTATCCCCTCTTCTTTTTCATATCTATTCTCTCACTTTGCTCTTTTTATTTTCTTCACTTTTTTTATTTTATTTTCATCCATTTTTATTTTCTGTTCTTCCCTTTTTATTTTATTTTCATCCATTTTTATTTTCTGTTCTTCCCTTTTTATTTTATTTTCATCCATTTTTATTTTCTGTTCTTCCCTTTTTATTTTATTTTCTTCCATTTTTATCTTCTCTTCTTCCTTTTTTATTTTTCCTTCTTCCTTTTTTTAAATTTTCTCCTCTCACCTTTTCTCTTTTCCTGTATTTCTGCCCTATCAACTCTTTCTCGATTTTTCTTTATTCCATTTCTCTCATTATATAATATCCTTTTCTTTCATTTAACTATTCCTTTTTCTCTTTAATTCACCTTCTCCTATTTATCTTTTCTATTTTTCTTCTTTCACTCTCTACCTTTATCCTTTTTTCTCTCCCACACCATTTCCCTTAATCTCTTTACTTGCTTTTCTCTTTGTTCCTTTCTTTCCAAACTGTCGTCTATTTACCCAGTAAATTTTCTTTGTCTGTCTTCGATTATTTATATCAATTTGTTTGTTTAAAGTCACGCATTCTTTCTTTTCACCTTTTCTCATTATTTCTGCGTTCTTTTCCTCTCACATTTCTCTCGCATTTCTTCCTCCCTTACTCTCTATGTTATCCTACAAATTTTACTTTTTTCCTCTGTGACGTGCATATTCCACTCACTTTCACATTCTCTCCTCCTCCACCATCTCTTTCTTCGATTACTCACCAACTTCTCCCTAGTCGTCTCTGTTTCTTTCCTCTCCATTTGCCTTCACTTTCCCTGTGTATAAAACAGATCCGTTTTAAATTGCATTGGGCAACATTTCACAGCCGTTCTTATACAGTGACAGGACACGAAAACGGCATTAAATGAAGGGTGAAAAACAAAAGTAAATCTCGCAAAATAAAAGAATGAAAACTCTCCACGCAACACTCACATATAGACTGGAGATAGAAGCAAGAAAATCTCGAACAGTACATATGACTCTCGCACAAGGACTGTTTCGCTGACGTTAAATTATCGGGCATCATGACCCAGCAATCCCATTGGCTCAGTTCAGCGTTTGCTCTTACAAGGAGGAAATGAAAGGTGCATAACACATCGAAATACAAGGTCGGAAGCTTTTTCCCTCGCCTCTTTTTCATTCTCAATGGTGCACATTACCCTTGTTCGAACTAATGGCTCAGTGGCAAAAACTTAGAATCAGTACTTTGGAGATGTACGGTTTGAAATCGTCTCAAATATGGTAAAACAAGGAAAATGAAATAGTTTTGATTTCAACAGATCAGCATAAAGGACCCTATTATTTATGGTCAGTCTATTAGATATTGGAAATTAAGTAACTTTCATTTCAGATTACGATAAATCCCCCTCTTCTTTGCGGTCAGTCTTTTTGTAGGAAATTAGACAAATTTGTTTCCAGATCAGGATAAAAGACCCATTCTTTATAGTCAGTCGATTAGCTATTATAAATTCGACAGCTTTAATTTCAGATGATAAAGAGGCCGTTTCTTTGTGGTCAGTCTCTTTGTGGGAAAATTTTTAAAAATTATTTTCAGATTAAGATAAAGATCTTTATTCCTTGCAGTCAGTCTATATGTAGGAAATGAAACCACTTTGATTTTGATCAAAATAAAGGCCCCTTGTTACGATCATTCTATTAGATGCGGAAAAAGTGAAACAATAATTTCATACCAGGATAAAAGTCACTATTCTTTACGGCTTGGCTATTAAATGTAGGGAATGAAACAATTTGATTTCAGATCAGGTCTTTCTCCTTTACGGTCAGTCTGTTAGATGTTGAATAAATGACACCCATATAACGTTAATAATCGATCAAATATTTCCACTTTCAAGCTGAGCAACCATTTATTTATTTTGGAAAATTAGCCATAGTTTTCAGGTCGGATTAAGTCAGGGACGGTATTAAATCTCGTGAGATTAAAAGGCGAAATCTGATGTTGAATCGCTGAATTTAACCCAAAAAGAAAACAGAAAAAAGAACGCTTGTCATATATGATTATAGTCTTTTACTTAAGATAACTGCAAGATGCATAAAAGAAATGAACTGAATATAGGAATATTATATTGAATTTTTATCAGGTGAAGCATTGTCAAGCATCATTAAGTTTTATGGCGGGGTTTAGCATATTGATCTTATTCACAAGGCAGAGCTTATGGTTTTCTGACTGTTTATTTTTTTTTTATTTGATTCAATCTTTCTTATCAAACCGCGTAATGAAAGTCACCTTGGACGGCTACTCCTCTACATCGTTTTACATTAATGCGGGCGTCCCCGAGGACTCTATTCTTAGACCCAATCTCTTCCTAATTGTCATCAAGGACATTCCTATTGTCATCAGTTCCCGATTTGATATCTGTTGCTCATTTACTACGGTCTTAATAAAAAAAAAATCTGATAGGTTTGATAAAATCAATTTGGAAACTGATCTCCAAAACCATCTTCAGTCTGTTGTTAGCTAGGGGAAGAAGAAGTGGCCCTTTAATTTTAACGTCTTCAAAACGAAACTACTCTCTCGTAATCATCTTAAATAATGATTTTGTCTTACATTAACATGGCTGATGCTAACCTTCAAGAGAGCAACTCACTGCCATATTTTGGTCTGACGTTTTCCATTGAAATGAAGTGGAATGATTATATTGAATCAATTGCTAAGTCTGCTGCTATGAAATTCGATTCCTTATGTCGTGATTGACAATTTTCCTCTATTTTCCAAAATCTATCTTGCACCATTATGAGACAGCTATACATCCATGCATCAAATATTACTTCTCCATCTGCTCTGGTGCTTCTGTTATATATCTAGAGATTCTCTACAAAATCCAAAGAAGAATCTGCAACGTTATATTTACTCACCTGCTATCTTAGGAGAAACTTGAAGGCTGTTCTTTTATTTTCATCAACGACCTTCCTGATGTTATAAGTTTCCGACTCGATACCCACGCTAATGGCACACCTATTTAATAATAAGTCTAACAGGTTTGATACAATCAAATTGGTAGCTGAAAATTACCTACATTTTTTTTCTTAACTAGAACAGGTAGTGGCTTGTTAATTTTGACGCCGATAAAACGAATCTTTTCTCTATTAATCATCTTAAAGACCTTTCTTTTTGTCTTCCACTAGCATGACCGATATTAATCTCCAGAACAATAACTTTCTGTGAACTTCTTGCTCTCACGTTTTGCACTGATATAAAGTTGAATGATTATATTCAATGATTTGGTAAATCTGCTGCTAGGAACGTCGTTTCATTACGTCATGCTAGAAAATGTTTCTCACCAGAATCTACCTTGTATATTCGTCCATGTATCGAATATTGCTGCTACGTTTGATCTGGTGCTTCTGCTATATATCTAGAGATTCTCTGCAAAATCCAAAGAAGAATCTGAATCTTTTCACATCCCCACCGTTGTAAAGTTGATTCCTTATACCATTTCTATAAATATCTTCCCGGTAATTATTCTAATGAGCTTTCCTCTTTAGTACCTCAGTTTCGCTAATTCAAGCGCAGTACTAGATTGGCGGCTAGGTCTCATCATTCTACTGTTGAAATTTCTAGTTGTAACCGTAAGTTCTATGCTAATAGATTCTTCTCCCGCACTTTCCGTTTCTGGAACTGTCTTCCGTCTTCCTGCTTTCCTGTCAACTACGATCTTCAAAAGTTTCAATGCAACATCAATCGTCATCGCCTGTCTTTTTATTTTTTTTTCTCTGTTTCTTTCACCCTAAGTAAACTCTTTCATCCCAGTGATTTTTATCGCGTTGGCTAGAGTAAAATGATTTTTAGAGAAAAAAAAAATTCTTCCATTTTAATTTCACTTACTTTTCAATGCAATTAGAAGACAGTCATTAACGAGGCATTAGTAATTATGATGAAAGAAATGCTATTCTAATTTCATGCGCTTGACAACAGCGCATCCCATAAAAATTAAATTACTTGATTTGTTCTTTACCGTCTCTTTTGTCTCTTGTTGAATATCACAACTCTGTCGTTTTGGCAATTCAAATCATGCTGTAGTATCTGTTGATATTTCTTTTGAGTCGTCTATAACCTTCTATTTACAAGACTTCTTTCTGCTACCAGCGTACTGACTGGGATCCAGTTCGTGACTTTCTTCGAATAGCCTCTTGGACTGATATTCTTAACCTTATTTTTGAGAATTGTGCCACTGAGATTTCTTCTTGGGTTTATGCCGGTATCGATACTTTTGTATATCTTCCCGAAAATATCGGGAGAAATCACAATTTCTCCTTGGTCCGCATCTGCCTTTTCAGCTGCTGTAGCCCACAGTTACAACAGACGCCTTTGCTCGTAATAATTGTAAACGTGCCATCAAAGAGGCAGAATGAGACAGCGTATATCCTCTAACAAGCTTGGATCATATGACTACTGGCGGCTCTGTACAAGTGTGTTCATTAAGATTCAGTTGTCTATCCCTTCTCTCTTCACGCAATTTGAGGTGTTCACATCTGCTGATGAACCAGGGTTTTTTGTTTCAAAATTCTCTTCAGATTCTACCTTTGATCTATCTGGAGTATATTTTTCTGACTCTCCACTTAGAACTTCGTCTCTATTGAGAGATAGGCATAGAACTCTATCTATGGTTTCTGCTTTCCTATCTAAACTGGATCTTCACAAAGCATGTTAACATGATGGCATCCCTGCAATAGTCCTTAAGAAATTTGCTCATGAACTTGGCTTCTGTCTTCTCTAAATTATACAATAAATGCTTTGCTGTATCTTACATTTCAGCTTGTTGGAAATCCTCTTCTGTAGTTCTAATCTTTAAGAACCGTCTGATCCTTCTATCGGACTATTAGCTTCGTACCTCCTTTAAATCTAATTTTTATATGGCAATATGGCCACTGTATTAACGATTATTGCTGAAAGAGTCTGTAAACCTTTAATGGTGAAGCTCGGTTTGTTGCTTTGCATATCTTGAAGGCATTCGATATGCCGGTCTTCTTTACAAGTTAAAAGGTTATGGTATTTCTGATTATTTTTTTTTTAACTGGGCCCATCTTTCTTATCAAATCGCAAAATGAAAATTGTCTTGAACAGCCACTCTTCTAAATCCATTTGCTTTAATGCAAGTGTCACGCTCGGCTCTATCCTTGGATCAACACTGTTCCTAGTTTTCATAAACGAACTTCCCGATGTCATTAGTTCTCAGCTGGGTATCTATGCTGATGGCACAAGTATTTGCTTATGTCTTAATAGTAAATTCGATCGGTTCGATAAAGCCAAATTGGTAGCTGAGCTAAAAATGATCTACAATCTGTTGTTAAGTGAGACAAGAAATGGCTTGTTAATTTTAGCGACTCTAAAACGAAACTGCTCTCTTTAATCGTCTGAGAGAACGCTTTTTGTCTTCTATCTTCTATCAGCATGGCTGATGCTAACCTCCAGGAGAGCAACTCATTGCACCGAAGGCCAATGTAAGGCCACTAAGCTTAATAGACAAGAGCAAGCAAAATTTTAGTTTCAAGTTGATACAAATATTTCTTCGTCTTTATTAATCAATGATTTCTTTATTTAAGTTCTGCAACTATATTCTCTCGCTGCTAAATTTTGACTTTTGGACGAAACGATTGCTTCATGAAAACAAGATTCAGCTAAAAAAAACTTTGCAGATATTCAGTATAATTATTGATTTAACTTGAAAAACAAAATAGACATTTTGACTTCAGTGCAAGATCAAAAGTTCTACTTCGATGAATATATCTGGGGAACAGATGAAAACAACAGGACATCTATAGATAGAATTTTATAATTGCCAATCATTTCTTGCAGTCTATGCCGAGGTACATGAAAGTAGGCACCTCAATATGAAGTACTTAATTCTTT